GCATTGCCTAGTAGCAGTGATCTCTGAAAACAGAGGTCATAACAGGGTCTATCTCATAAAGTTCTTGGAAGTGAGGTTGAGTATGTAAAGCATTTAGTCCAGCGGTTTGTGTACAGAGTAAATACTCAAATTATAGTAGTGGTAATGATGTTAACAAGTTCTACCACAGACAGAATACACACACACCCCTCAAAATGGTTTCTCCAACTTGTGGTCTTGAGCTCTTTAATCAGCAACATACTTCTTTCCATGTATCAGTAAACAAGTTTTAAAAATCTCTCTTCCTTTATCTCATAGCAATCACAAAAAGAAAGACAAAATTAAAAGTGAAATGTAATAACTCTACCAATTGTTTTGTCTCCTTCACACACTAATCAAGTACATGGCGGTTGCCCTCTTTGAGGTATGACCTGCAGTGAGATGCTCTCAGGAATACAGGTCATTCCAGAGATGACCATTTTATTGGACATTATAGAATTTTGAAATTAGCCTAAATATGTGCAAATTCTGCATGTAAGAAGGAATCTTAGCTAAGAATAATGGGCATGAAATAAAGGTTCAGCACTTTAAAGCCATTTCTATTCAACAATAATTAGCATGTTTAAATGTAATAGAATTGTATCCATCTACAAAATGCTTAAATGTTTGGAATCTCATTTATATCTGTAATGACAGATTCATTTTTGAGACAGTCATTTTCAATCTTGATTTGTATATTTTAAAGTTGTTAAATGCTTGACTGAATCATTAGCAAAACAATTCATGTATCATTAAACTGACTTCTAGCATGAGATAATTTTCTTTCTTGCCCAACAGATATGCCTTTTAAGATTTACTGAGATAACTTTTATTCCTTACTAATTTGGGGGGAAGGCAGGGTTTCAAGAATTTTAGAGACCTTACCACCAGCTAGTTTCATAATCTTCAATATATGCATTCCCCTTAAGAAACTCATCTCAAAATGGTTTGCTGAGTGAATACTAGAACACTGAAGAGTGTATAATGTCTGGAGAGGGGGCAGGACAGGGACGGTCCCTTTTAATGGACCAAGGAAGGAAAGAAATGAATAGAGGTAAGGAAGGAAAAATCCTGGCACTCTCTGGGCCTCAGTGAAAACAGGACTCCACAGCACCCCACACATACCACCCCACCACACACACTGCAGTCTTAATGGCCCCAAGCTGCCCAAGACTGCGCTTCCTCTACTTCCCGTACCCTCCCACCCATGAGCAGACTGCAGCTCTGGAGACCTGGGAAGACCCGTGCAGGAGCAAGCAGAGGCAGCAGGGTTGCTGCCGCTGCATATGGTAAGGGGCCATGCCCTGCTGGAGCTAGAACAGCTCACTTTTGTCTGGAGAGCAGAGCCTCCCTCTCTGGCCCCCAACAAGGTCCAGAAAAATCTCAGGACAGTGTGGGCTGCTGGGGCAGGCCCTGGGGGCTGCCTTCCCCCAAGGATGAGAAGCCTGGCCAGCACATGGCCCCTTTTCAACCTTGACAGCCCCATGCAGACCTTTGAACTTTCTATTTATATAACAGTTCCGTCAGTTTAAGTCTCTTCCTGTATAACTGCCCGTTTGCAAGGTCCCCTCTAATTAGGCTACTTGTGAGACATCACATAAAAACGACACACAATTGATGCTGTCCTTCGCAGTGAGAAGCCGGCCACTGTCACAATCACTTAACAACCATTTTCCCTAGGACTATTCGCATTTTGGTTTTACTATCATGGTGGCTTTCTTTTAATCTTTTTTTTATTTTTAAGAATTTATCCTTTTTTATATTTCCTTCCTTCCCTCCTTCCTAATTAAAAAAAAAGAACAGATAAGCATCCCATAAAGAATCCTGGCGTGTTACAAAGCAATACTTAATCAATACTGGAGGGTACCACTTACAAGACTGGAAGCCTGTAGACTTTGTAGGCTCTCTGAATTTGCTTTTTTGTTCCTCTTAAGGAGGGGTTAATGACTTTGGCATTGCTGGTAAACAAGTTCAAAATCTAGCCACGTGATCTCCATACGCCTCAGAATTCATCTACTTGATGACCATAGGCAAGTCTACTGAATGATTTAAATGATGAAATTTGACTTTCTTTCTTTCCCTTTTTTCTTTTTTTTTTTGAGAGCAAATCATCTCCCTGGTGCATACAGACATCTGTGCCTTCCTTTTCCTTCACAGAATGGCTCATATTAAATTTAAACTCAGGTGAACATTGCTCATTCATCCAGGAATCTTAAAGAATTTGAGCTCTGGCCCTTTAATCGAGTCCAGAGCACGACCCATTAAGATATTCCTGTAGTTGGTGAATCCAGCGAGATGTTCCATGAGGCGTGCGAGCACTCCCAGACACTGCACCTACCTGCACACTGCAGTGTCATGCATGGCCCATTCTTTCCATTTGCATTTGCCCTAACAAATGTGTGTTTTTGTAAATGGGCATGCACTTTTTGTTTTCTAGAGTCAGTATTTGCAAATAACGCATATGCAGTGTATGTACTGTCTTTGTTCATTATGTCTAGGAAAATGAGTTTGTTTTGAAGCTGTCTTGTTCCACGTACTGTTAAACATTTAGGCTTACAGAAAGCTCCAGGCTTGTTCTACAAGTGACTATTAGGAATAGGTTCAATGTAAACATAAAGAAGCTTCTTAACTTTGTAGGGGGTCTTTTCCCTCTTTGGTCCTCCTGAGGGCTTCAGGGGAGTGGATGTCATCACTTTTACGCAGCTACTTACTCTCAGAGAAGGACAGTAAACATCTAATGAACATGTACCCAGCATCCTCTAGATGTCCAAAGAGAGTTTCAAAGGTACAGGTTTCCATTAAAGACAACATCAAGCTTTTCAGCTCACCCACCATTGTCACATTTGTGTTCCTTTCTCTATGTGCGTGTATAAGACACAGAGGCACAATCACATTACAAATGTTCATAAACACAGATGCACGAGGAAGTGGGCCCCTCACAATTGAACAGTAAGAAGGACAAACTGTCCTGGATCATGAGCATAGAAAGAAGATGCAGGCTTATTTATGCATACCTGATGCACAAATTCCTCAGTGTTTCACATTATATCCACTGAATATCCAAGTCTACATGTTCCTTAACTGATATGGCACAGTTAAGGATCCACAGGAAAAAGGATTTGGGGTTCTCTTTAAGAATAGATAGCCTCACAGAAGGGAGAAGGGCTCATATCTTCTGGAAAACCAGAAATCAAACATAAAGAGCCCACCTCCTTTAAATATTCAGCTGCATGTGAGTAAGATTAAACTGGAATTAACACAATAAATATTTTTAAAACCTAATACCATGTATGTGGTTAACATTTGGATGACACCCATGAAATCAGTTATAACAATGTCTGCCAAATTAAGAATTTTATCCATGCTACATATTAGGCAAATTGCATGCAAATAATAATGCTGTGGTTATCAGTTGTCTGCAAAATAAATTAGTGAAGCAGAGTAAAGGTTTTGTGCAGGAGCATAATATTTAATTGAGCAATGATTTTATTGTATCTACTTTTAAATAACAACAGCATGATTATTTTTTAATGTAACATAAAGTCTCTGCAGAACTGATACATCTCTGCATGGTTTTAAACATGCCTTGCAAATTAATACTCATACACCATAATTTGTGCTTCAAAGGTTTACCTGGAATTGCTGTAAAATAAAACATATTTAAGTGCAGATTATTTTGGGTTTGCAATTTAAGGAGTCATGATTGGCATAACGAAGCTATTGGCCAAACGCATGACCCTTTTTTCAAGAAGGAAATTGCCTAAAATATCACATCAGCAAGGGAAATCCTTGTAAAAATACACAGCATTCATAGCCAACAGCTGCCGCTAGTAGTTGAACATTGCAAAAGATTTCGCACTGTTGGTGGGTGCTATTGATTATTCTAACTACATTTAAAAGGGCTATAGCCAAGAGTGCAATTTTAAGTCGCTGCTGCCGCTCCCTCCCTCCCCATTTAATTCCTTGGGCTGTAGCGAAAACTGATACGTTAAAATGCTTAGACAAATAAAAATCAATAACGTTTATGGTAGAAGGTGAAGTTTTTAAAAAGTTAATAGATAACGTGTATCAGCATTTATGCATGCGCGTCCGAACATCACACAAGGAGTTAACAACTTTCTGGCTCCCAATCACCTCTGCATCATCTCTTAAAATCTGTGAGCGTCAAGTTTAGGATATTTTGTAAAGACCGGATTAAACCCTTGAATCCTTATTGTGTGTCCATTGCAAACCTAGGACTGTCTCCCAGTGGGAGGCCCACGGGGGTCCAGCCGGCAATTAAATGTGCATTGACGTCGGAGCAACCGACTTTGGGGGCCGACTTCAAAAACCTTCAGTCTTGAAAACCGAGCGCAGAAGCGAACCCCAAGCCGGGGTCCGTCGCGCGCGGTGGTCCCCGAAGATGCAGCTCGAAGCTGGGGTGCCCGGGAACTTGGGTTGAGCCGGCCTTGGGGAAGGTGCGTGAGCTGCGCCGCGCATTGCCCGCGGGGATGGAGGTGGCGGCAGCGAGGGCGGTGGTCGCCCAGGAAGTGGAGGGTGGCCGGTGGCACCTAGCCGCCGCCTTTCCTCCGCCGCCGGCCGCGGTTACTGGGCACCTGGAAAGTTGAGGCATTTCAGGCGGTCGGCATCCAGGGCGCACGGAGGCCGTGCCCAGGAGCCGCCGGCAAGAAAAGCCGGGCGGAGGTCGTGCAGCTGAGCCCCCGGGTGGGGGGCACCGAATCCGATGCGGGCCAGATGCAACTCTGTAGACTTGGAGCGCAAAGCGACGCTTCTACCCGCATCCCTCAGTCTCCCCGCACCTCCCCCCACCCGGGCACCGGACCTAGGAGTCACCATGGCAGGGGCCAGAGGTGGCCGAGAGCAAGTGTGAGGGCATCCGGGGCGCCCCCCACGACAGCTCTGGCTCCTTTTAACAAAGACGAAAAGCCCAGACCCCACTGGGGACCCGCTCGTCAAAGGGAAAGGCAAAAATCAACACCTACCACTGCTGCTCCAAGTCCCAGTCCCTGAAAAAGTCGAATAGATCCATTGCGGCCGGGTGGAGGTGGCGGACCGGCGTCAGTCCCTGCTCGCTGCGGGTCGGCGCGGCTCCGGGTGGCGCGGCTGGCTCGCTGCCCTGGCCAGCCCTGCTCTCCGGCCCTCCGGTCTGATTAAAAGTGCCCGGGCCGCATTGGCAGCGGCGACCGGCGCTGGAGGTGCCTGGTCCTGCGCTCCGGAGCGGCGGCGGCACAGGGCGGGCAAGCGCCTGGTCGCCCGCTCGGGTCCGCTTGCT